TACCGAATTGATAAATAAACTAAAACGGACTCACTTGTTTAAAATTATCAACTCTTCCTATCATTTTTAAGATGATTTGTTACGTCAGTCTTCTGAATCTAAACTATTTTGTTATCCCTTATTCATAACTAATTTTGTACAATTGAGTTAATTATTTCATAATTTTTAATATAACCTGTTTTAATTTTTTGTTTACCTTTATTCAGTTTCATGTTTAGCTAATATAATTTTACCAAATATATATGAAAATAATAATAATAACAAAATCACAAAATATCTTCTTCTTTTTTTTGTCTAAACTTTTCATAAATTTCACTTTGTTCTCTGTAAAAAAAAATTACTGGTTTTGGACTCTTCCTCTGTTTTCTTTTTGCACGATAGAATTCAACCTGTGTAAAGAGCTAAAGAAATCGAGTCCAACATCATAATGTGCATATGGACTCCAATAAATAAAATCCTTGGGAATTTAAATATCATTAAGAATTTTGGTAGGCACAAAAGGGCCATTTATGTTGCATCCCAATCAACCTTGTCAACCAATTACGTAAAAAAAAATTCTTGTAACAAAAGTTATTTCTTGAATCACTTAACAAATTTTAGGATGAAATCTTAATAGTCTTTGTAAGAGTCAAGGAAAGTAATGAACAATAAAGGAGAGATAAATAAATGAAACAAATACAAAGAATCTTTAGACGGATTTGATTATTGATAAATATACGCCAAGTAGGGATGACAAAACGGGTCAGTCCGCTTCGTTTTGGCCCATCTCGCCTTTGATCCGCCAAAAGCGGGACGGAACGGGCTGACCCGATATAGTCATGACGGGCTGTAGACATTGGTCCACCCCGCCAAGGGGCCAAGTTGGTGAGTCGGCAAAAAATAATATTTTTTTAAAAATTTTTTTTTAATAAATTTAATAATAAAATTATTATTTGTTTGTCAATAATTCAATATATATATATATATTATTTCAATTTAATAATATAAATCAATACATTATTTTAAGAAATTATAATTTATAACAATAATAAAATTTACATAATAATAAATAATAACAAATATATATATATATATATATATATATATATAAATACGTTAAACTTATAAAATTTATATTTTTTATATTGAATAATTCAAATACCTATATTTTTTTTATATGATAAAACTTCATATTATTCTTGGTTGAGTAATTCTTACACCTTTAATTCAAGTAATAAGGATAAAAATAATCAGTGTTTAGGAAAAACAAGGAGAACAGGAGAGAATGTTATGTTTTAGGAAGGAGAATATTTTCTGTGAGAATGAAACTTTTTTAATTCTCTTTTAAAAATTTTAACTTTATATATTATCTTTATAATTAATTTTATTATAATAAAAAATTATTCTTTTATTAATTAGGTGGGTCGTGGGCTGGCCCGCCAGTCCCTGCGGTTGGCTTGACAGAGTTGACGGGTTTGGCGAACAGCAAAAGCGAGCCGGTGGATCGAAAACACCAACCCGCCCGCCATATTATGGCAGTCTGGCGAGCTGGCGGGCCGACCCGCCAAGCCTAGCCCGTTTTGTCATGCCAAGTTCAATTCAATCAACATGAAATAGATGATTTCATTATTCTTGAAAATCAACACATTTACATACATTACTAAACCAATATGCATCACACTCACTAACATGGAGTTTCTTGAAACACTATCACGTCAAGACATACTATACTAGACACTATTAAATCAACTAATAAAAACTTAAAAGATCATGTTAACTTATTAAGAAAATAGTTGAATAAAGTTTAAGATTTTTTTTTCTAGTAAAAACTTGGTAGGATATGGGTGAATAAGTAGAATAATAAACACTAATATAAAAATAATATTTCATAATGATTTATTTTGACAATTTTAATTCACCCATCATAATAAGTTGAATAGTGTCAATTTTGTAATTAAAATTTACATTTTATAATAATTTAATTTTTAACGACATAAAAAGTAATTTTATATCAGTTCAAATTAAATCGTTATTTTAAATATATTTTATGTTGATTCAATTTTAAACGTCATAATAAATTATTTTGTAAATTATAAACTTAGACATTTTGTTTATGTTTGTTCAATTTTGAACCGACATAAAAGTGAGTTTATCAATTTTAAATGAGATATTTTTATGTTGATTAAAAATTTAAATGTCATAATAAATATTTACTATGATGGTTCAATGAACCGTCATAAAAAGTGTCCAAATTTAAATTTTTTATATTTGTTTTATCCTCTTCATCTTCCTCATTTTTTTAATTTTTTTTCCTTGTACGTTAAAGAACTTTATTCAACTTCTTCCATTTGTTTTATTGTCCCCTCATCACATTCATCTACTTTTCTCTTCTTATATTTGCATTACTATTTCGTACAATCTTGATTCTTTCTCATTTACAACAAAAGTAATATAAGAAAACATTGTCTCATTATTTTTTGTCTTAATTTGTATTTCATGATTTGATTTAATGAAGTATTCTAATATATGTTATATTGTAATTTCTATTATGAGTTTTTTCTTTGATTAATGATTTTTTATCCAACTTATCTATATTTTATATTTAATCTTTTTTTATGTAGATAATGCTTGTGTTTAATTTTTGAAATTTGTTGTTGTATTTAAATTATTTGATAAAATGTTTGTAAGAAATATGACTATATATAAAAAAAATAACAAAAGACTTTTTATGATGGTTATGTTAAGAACTAACCTAATAAATACTTATTATGTCGGTTATTTAAAACTGATATAAAAAATAACTTTATATGTTGTCTGGATCTATGTCAATCATAGAACTAACATAAAAAATCTAAAATAATTGTCATAAAAAAAACTCTTTGAAAGAGTGATTGATTTATATAATTATACCTGCTTAATTCTTTTTTAAAATAATTTTAAAAAGTTATAATCAATCTAATTATAACCCATAGGAATACAACAAGTTTGACATTCCTTTTCAATATTGTATTTGAGATTAAGAATTATAAATATTATTAACTATAATTATTGGCTAGACAAAAAAGTGTTTAAAAAAAACGACAATAAAAATTCTCCTTAAAAAGAAAAGGTATATAATAAAATGTTCATGATTAAAATTTTAACCTTACGGTAAAAGATATAACAAATATTTTTTCTTCACTATTACAAACTCTGAAACATATGTCCTCTCGAAGATTTGTGTTAGAAGATTATAAAAATTGCGTGTTGTAATTGTGTATTTTCCATTCATGATCTTTTATAGGATATATGACTATTGTAAAATATTTTCTTCTTTAATATTTTTTTAAAATAAACTCTAATATCTTGACAATGAAGATTATTATGATATTATGTTTATATTTATTCAAAAAATATCTTTGATTTGATGATATAGGTTAAAAAGAAAATATAGTCCAACATAATGTGTATATTCTTTTATCAGATAATATATTTCCTTTTTATGATTATGTTGAATTAGTAATTAAAGATTTATTTTAAATTTAATCCATATTTTGAATAATTTATAATTATGATATTCATTTAATTTTACATATTTTAATTTTAATTTGTATGTAATTTTTTATTTAATTTTATTATTGATTATAAAGATTTTTTTCGATAACAACGTGTTGGAACATCAAATTTTTCAAAAAATAAAAGCTAATTATACATCACATAAAGATATTAAAAAATATATATTAACATTTTTAATACTAAGTTTTTTTTTATTATCCTAAAAAAACACATAGTATAAGATTGTCAAATTATGTTATTTCTTAAATTAGATCGTTTTAATGAATTAGAAAGATATCACTGGAATGTAAATGAATTCTAACAACTGAAAAATTAAAACTCCTCCTAAAGAGTTCAGGATGTAACTTGTTTCAAGGATTATTATTGTTAATAAAATCAAGAAATCTATTTAGAAGAAAATAATTAATCATTACTTTATAAAAAAGTTCGAAGTTTTAGATTATTTTTGTTCACTATTACTTAGCATGATCGATTATAAACTATATAGATAATTAATTATATGCAAGTCCAAGATTTTTCTCAAGTATGAGCATCTAAAGAAGATTTATTATATTATTCTTTATTTTATGAAATGGTTCTTTATCAATTTTATAAAAAAAAAAATTGAAAATCATGAGTGTTCATGGATCAAGTGTATCAAGTTCATCTAGCGAGCTTAGAATGTCTAATCTAATACATGCATCACAAGCATGAAAGAAATAACATCATTTGAATACATTTTACATAATGAAAACAACTTATCCTATTTTGTCAATTTTGTTAATATAAAAAAAATCATAACTACATTAAATTTATGAATAAAACGGGGGCGAAAAACATAAATTTGAGAAGTTAAAAGAATTGAACTTATCAATTTATAAACATAAAAATCATAGACAAATTTGTGAAAAATTACAAGAATTAAAAATGTACTTATCACTGAAATGAAAAACAACTTTATCCACAATGAAATATGGAAAACAGCTGAGTTTCATCGATTTAGTTAATGTGATGTGCAGAAAGAATTATCTGTAAAAAAAAAAAAAATTTGCAAAATGTTGCTAGGCATGTTTAATGAAGCAATATAGCATATTGTTCTTCAAAACATTGTAATTAAACACTTCCAATGTGTTTGTTTCCAACTAAGAAAACATCGCCAGCAAAGAAATGCAATGATTCATGCATTTCAATGTTAACTTTGACCTTTTCATGAATGTATGCAAACAAATACCAAGAAAATAATTTTTAATTAACATTTTTTTACTCTATTGTTATTATAATAATAAATAATTAAAATTATATTAAAATGATAAATAAATTTATTTTTTATTCATTTTTTACTCTATTTTTAATCTAAATGACTTCACTTTTCAACACTTGTGTTGCAAAAACAAAGGGGCAACCCTCTTCTAACTGACTGAAAAAAAAAACACTAAAATACAATCATAGCATATGGAGGAATTCCATGACCCCAAGTCTTTCACAATTCATGTTTGATAGATTTTATGGAGGAATTCCCAATAGTGGTTCAGCATGTGATCTGTAGGTGTCACTCTATCCCACTTTCCTGTAACAAATATAGCATATGCATCTGCTGCATACCTGATTCAGAAAATATTACAATATCATCAACAGAGGCACTGTTATATATATATATATATATATATATATATATATATAACACTCATTATACCTAAATAATCAACAAAAGAGTGCATAGAAAATGACTTACTTCCCAACCCCATGCAGTTGAGTTACATGAGTCCAACTTTCATCCAAGTATTCCTCAGAGAGACGCTGCAACATTTTTGCCCTTCTCTGTTGTAAACCTAAAGTCTGTGTTGTCTTTTCTATTTCCTCGCTTGCAACTTGTGTGCAAGATTTTGCATCGGGACATAACTGGAAAAAGTCTGACACAACCTTTTTTGTCTGCATTTTGCAAAATAATCCATCAGTACATAATAGATATTATTTTTACTTTTACACTACACCTACCTAATCGTCCTTCTTAATTGAAAGGAAATCTCAAATGCAAAAGGTTCTTTTTATTCAACTCTGCCGATAACCACTGGTTCTAACTGCACAATCTTCAACTTGGAGAATAATAATGTGGCATGGTTTTATCTTGGGGAACTTGACTAGGCTTAATGGTTCCTAATTTAACACATCCTAATTGACATTATTCACCGTATATCATAAATGATTGCATGCTTGGTTTCGTGTCTGATCAAGTCAAACTTGGAACCATTATCCACATTCAAGCTGAAGTGAATTCGAATAGCTTTCATTTTTCACATCTTGAACGTGGATTCAAGACTGCAAATGTAAAATCAAACACGCACTAAATTGATGAACTTCAATATCCAAAAATTCAACAACCAATATGAACAGGACTCGGAAGAACACAGGATACCAGCACTCTTTAAGTATTCATTGGAAGAATAATACCTAAGGTCACATCAATATTAGTCGCAAATGAAGAGATTATCACACCCAGATGATTGCATAAACTGTAGACTACAATTGAATATAGTACTTGTTTTTAATAAAATCATTACATTTAAAAAATTAAAAATAAAATATCTCTAGTGGTACACAAACTAAGTACTCTTGAATAATCCTAGAAAGCTTGCTGCAGTGTAGCAAGCTTTACACTAAGTAGTCCACAGTCTGCAGAAGACATGCACATAACACACAAATCGGAAGAAAGTAAAACAGGGATTACAAATATGCAGAAAGTTATCTGTGAGAATCCTGTTATGTGTGGACGTCCAAACAAACTACTGGAAGGAGCTTAGGACTTAAAATGTGTATGAAAGGGAGGACACTTTGAAGATCAGTGTAGATAAGAAATTGAAACAAAGATTTCCAAGAAAAAAACAGCGGAAGAAACCAAGGTCTAAACTAAACTGCATAGTTTGGCTGAGAGAAATATGCTGAAGAAAATTCGTTAGATTGTAATTCACTAGTACCTCTATGATTGAAATGAAACCCAACGTGAAGAATGAACTTGGACAGAATAGAAGTGACTATTGAGCAAATACTTAAACGTGGACAGAGTAAAAAATGTGAGTGAAAAAAATGGAACATTTCCCATTCTTCGTTGTCAGCAATCAAGCAAAGGGCCCTCAGGATATGAAAAGGACGGCACCTATATTCCTCTATACTCTATACACAACTCCATAAACTATTTTTTTCTATTCTGGAACACATCAAGAAGTTGACAACTGAATGATGATTTCATTCATTGTTCAATGATCGCCCATTTATTCAAGGCAACATGGCATTTTTCATTAAGAAATAGTGAACAGAATACAACCCATGGTTAACAATTCTATATGGCAGGAAGACTGAAGAACTTATTAACAACCAAGCATCGTTTTTTCACTAATAAAACTAATCCTTGTCACATTATAAAAGAAAAATGGTAACACACTCTTTTAAACACAACCTTTTAGCTAAAATTATTGAAGATTACAAATTTTATGTGGTCTTGCTGCTTATTTTATGAATCTTCCTGACTTTTGTAGTTATCAATACAGTTTAACCAATAGTGGAGTGTAATAGGAGTGTTAGAGAGTTGTTAGCACTGCACTTTCACGAAAGAAGACTACGTCACTCAATTGTTACATTACTTGGATACAAAGGTATTGGAAATATTAGGGAAGAAAATAATGGCAGACTCGCCAAAACTTCAATTACAATATTATTCAGCTAAGAATTATGATCTACGTATTACGCTAACAGGAACCACGTATCTGCATTAAAAGGCTCCTAAAAAGGCACAAAGAATCACTTGATTTATTACATGATACTTGCTAAGCATAAAATTGCAGCAGGGGCGTTAATATTTTAGTAGGCTAGATTACAAGGAGATTTAACAGTTTGAAAGTCATTAACTGGGGTCCCCACCAAAGAATACATGTCGCAGAAAATTAAACATTGGCTAAACACAAACTCTCAAATACGATTATAAATATGGAATGTTAGCTAACTTCAACAACAAACCAAAGAGGCAAACATATCAACAGAACCATAAACTATTTTGTGCATACATAGATTTGAAATATTGCTTTCATGTGACAGGTATTTATTTATCATAATTGGTGCAAATCAGGCAAGTCGCTAATAAAAAGATGAAGGGGAGAACTAAACATTAATTTTAATGAGATTAGAATTACTGAGAATTTTGGACTAACATGACTATCACTATGAAATTAGTCATCAGGCTTTTATTAGAAGAAACAATTCTACGATTCTACCACTCAACGCAAGATAAACCATAATTTTCTAAGACCAAGAGAGAATAAAATATAATTCCCCGAGACCCAAAGAGGATAAACCATTAACGTCCCAGCTTTCATTTCCAAGATGGCATTAGTGCATTGCTTCTAAAGAAATGACATAGTAGCCTACATAAAAAACATCTATAAAGACAATAAACTATAGCCCCTTTTTCATTTAGTTTTTAATGCAGATGAATGAAACTGATACTATATAACAGCTACAAATATAAGGGCTGGAAACATTTCTGTTCTTCCAAATAGATAGATTTAAAAGCATGATAAAATAGGGCTAAAATGCAAAATAAACAATGCAAAAATCAAAGATTACAGATTTTGTTAAATTATTAGATGAATAATTGAAAATACCTGTCTACCAGAAGTCCGATTGAGAAGCATACAAATGACCAGCACTCTCCAAGGGTCCTGAAAATGATCCTCTTGAATGAGAACAGGCGCAGACCGTGGAGGCTTCCATGTATTATCTGGAGTTTTTCTTTTGTAAGCATCGTCCCACTTCTCAAAAGCAGAAAGATTTCTTTTAATTTCAATAGGTTTTTCACTGCAACTATATTTATTTCCCTCGAGTTTATTCTCCACGAAATGTTCAGGGGTATGTAAAGCAATAGAGTCAGACTTGCTTGCCTCGTCCAAATGTCTCACATTAATCTTCTTCCCATTATCATTATGAAAATAAGGGGAAACATATCTAATACCATGAGCAATATTTTTCTGACCTAGAGGTTTTGTCCTCTTGGGTTTAACTTTAGTAGTGGCATCATTTCCATTCTCCTGCGGTTTATTGAAAATGGCTTTCTTGATATTAATAGTTCCATTTTCAATTTCATTTCCATCCCCTAGTAACTTATGTTCAAGGAGCCTGCCATCAGCACAACATGATTCAGCATCAACCTTCATCACATTGTTGCTTTGAGGGAAAGGAGAAACTTTTCGAATTTGAGCATGCTCAGCTGTCTCATCCTTTTTAGATGTTCTCTTGCCTTCATATTTGAACATTTCAACTGGAATTTCATCTTCACAAGTACAAGTACCCATTGAAGCAACAGAATCAAGGTCACTTTCAAGCCCATGGACTTTTACATTAACTGCCTTCTTGTTGTCATTCTGAAAGTAAGGAGAAACCTTCTGTATTTTGGCATGCCCCTCAGCTGTTGCCCTGCTGTTGGATTTTCTATTAGTTGATTTAACTTTAATGGTTTCAAGTTCATTTCCAATTTTTTGTGGTTCATCCTCAGAGAAATCTCCAGAATTAGCTGTTACAACAGCAGAATCAGCATGAATTTCAAGTACCTGTTGTTTAAGATTCTTCCCTACACTAATTTCCACCGGTTTATCCTCCATGAAATTTCCAAAGGTAGGTAAAACTGTGGATTCAGACTTGATTTCCTTTTTAAATGATTGAACACTAAACTTCTTTCCACTGTCATTCTGAAAGTAAGGGGAAACATATCTAACACCAACCTGGACTGCATTTTCCTGAACCACCGATTTCGTTTTCTTGGGATTAACATTACAAGTATCAGCGTCATTTCCATTCACTTGCAAATTATTTGCAATGCCTTTCATCCTTTTCAGATTAATCATTTCATTTTCTCTCAGCTTATCTTCAAGGAAATCACCACCAACACTAGTTAAGGCACTGATTCCAATCTCACTGTCATAACATGATCCATGATCAACCTTCTCCCAATTGTTACTTCGAGAAAAAGGAGAATCCTTTTGAATTTGAGCATGATCCACTATCTTGTTCTTTGCAGATGTTCTCTTGCTTTGGAACTTACATTTTTCAATAGCGATTTTGTAACCAGACTTAGCAACAGAATCAAAATTATTTTCATAATCAAGTGCTTCAACATTGACTGTTTTTTCATTGTCATTCTGAAAATAAGGAGAAACCTTCCGAACCTGGACATGCTCCTCAGCAGATTTTTTATTATTGGATTTTCTTTTTTTCTTCGATTTAACTTTGAGGGTTTCAATTTCATTTCCATTTTCTTGCAGTTTCTCAAAGTCTCCAGAAGCAACAGTAAACTCAACAGAATCAATATGACTATCAAGTCCCTGTTGTTTAATCTTCTCCCCACCATGTTTGCCATCTAGTTTATTCTCAATGGAATTTCCATAGATGGGTAAAGGAATGGAATCAGATCTTCTTTTCATATTCAATGATTTGCCTTTAATCTTCTCCACACTGTCATTATGAAAAAAAGGGGAAACGTATTTAACACCAACGGTAATATTTTTCTGAAACACAGATTTTGTCTTCATGGATTTAACATTTCTAGTTTCAGCATCATCTACATTTACTTGCTGCTTATTGGCGAAAGCTTTGGTCTTCTTTTTCAATTTAGTTGTTCCATTTTCAATTTCATTTCCATACACCAGCATCTTATCTCCACGGAAGCTACTCCGAATACCTGGTGAAGCAATGGATTCAATCTCACAACAACATGAATCAGCATCAACCTTATTGTCACTTTGAAAGAAAGGTGAAATTTTTTGAATTGGATCATGCTCAACAAATTCCAGCTTCTTGTATCTTCCCTTGCATTTGGATTTAATCTTATCAATTGCAATTTTATATCCATTCCCTTCCTCTTGGTCTTGAACCATGTATTCACAAGTACCCATTAAAGCAACAGAGTCAAACTCATTTTCACTATCAGGAGCTTCTTCAACGGTCTTCTTCACATTGTCAATCTGAAAGTAAGGAGAAACCTTTCTAACTTTGGCACTCTCAAAAACAGTTTTCTGGGAATTAGATTTTCTCTTCTTGGATTTAATGCCAATGGATTTGAATTGATTTCCACTTTGTTTCAACTTATCCTCAAAGAAGTCTCTAGAAGCATCAGATAAAACAACAGAATCAACATAACCTTCATGTACCAATTGATTAATCTGTACGGCACAACCATCTTCCTCCAGTTTATCCCCTAACAATTCTCTGAAGGTAGGTAAGGCAATATGTTTAGACTTGCTTTCCTTCGCCAATGATTTGACATTAATCTTCTTTGCACTATCATTATGAAAATAAGGTGAAACATATCGAACACCAACCTGAACTGTATGTTTATGAATCTTAGGTCCTGGTTTCTTGGGGTTGAATTTACTGGTTGCAGCATGATCACGAGTCTCCTGCAGCTCCACCTCAACTGCCTTCTTCTTCATTACCTTGGATTTAATCTTTTCATCTGCCATCAACTTATCTTCAGCAAATCCAATGTCACAGCCATAAGACCACAATTCAGGATCAATCTTCTCCCCGTTGTCACCTTGAGGCTTACACTTCTTGAATATGGAGCTACTGGTTTCAGCATCATCACCTTTCTCCTGCAGCTTATACTTGAAACCTTTTTTCTTCATCTTCTTTTCCTTGGATTTAATCACTCCATCTGCCAGCAGATTATCTTCAAATCCAATGTCACAGCCATAAAAACATGACTCGGGATCAATCTTCTCCCCATTGTCACCTTGAGGCTCAAACTTCTTGGCCCTTCTCTTCCTTTCTGATCTGATCTTTTCAGATTCACTTTCATCTTCATTCTCTTCACTGCCACAACTACACGATTCAGTATCAACCCTCTTCTCCGTGTCACCTAGAGGCTCATGCTTCTTCAACCTTCTCTTCTGTTTAGATTCAATCCTTCTGATAGCGGTTTCATCTCCCTTCCCTTCACTGCTATAACAACACAATCCAGTACCGACCTTCTTCTCTTTGTCACCTGAAGGCTCATGCACATGCTTCTTCAACCTTCTTCCCTTCCTTTTGAATTGGATATTTTCCACTATAATCTCATCTCCATTCTCTTCCCAATTGTCCTGCATGAATTTTCCACATGCCCTTGTAAAAGTAACAAGAAAGAGGGAAAAAAACTTAAATCTTTTTCACAAGTCTTCCCCCATTCCGTAGTCGTTTTCAGATAAAATAAAAACTGTTTGTTCTTATTTAGGCATTACAAAATATGGTATGCTATTAATTAAGGAGACTTACTCCCTTCTTTTCATAGTCATTCCTAAAGTTTGAAACTTTGGGATGCTTTTTAGATACTCTCTTCCTCCCATTACTACTTTTGCTGTTTCCAATTCCCTTTACTTCTTTATTCTTCCTATTTACTTCAATCACATTTCCTTCTTTCTGAGCAGGCAGCGCTAAAATGCACACCATTCTCCTTAAATTCTCCAGAAATTACTAAAGCCAAACCAAAGCCTGAAAAAATGCAAGCATTATTGGAGTCAATTAACAAGAAAAGAATCCGATATGATGCTATGTTATGCTGCTGTATAACAAATGAAAAGAGAGAAATAATAATGAATCTGAAGAAGATTTTAAAATCTGGACAGAAGCATAAACTTTTCCCTTGTATTCAACAAGAGAAAATGGACTCCCATCGGCAAAAATCGCACTATCCTTTTATGAGAAACAAGCAAAGAAATCAATATTATTGCAAAAATGTAAGAGTGTTAAGCATAATTTGCTTGCTTAACCAGGGGAAAGATGTGATGATCAGTTTCTTTACCTCACTCCACTGGTAAGCCTCTTCTGCTGTACAATCAGATTGTGAGGTAGAATTCAATAGAGCCAAAATGGGAGGTTTCTGCAATTCAGACATTACAAAGTAGTTCTTATTTAAAATTATATATCTTAAACTATTTATTCATAACATATCATTCACCTATTTAACTTGGACTATTCTTGACCAACCAAAACACAAACACTTCACTAAACTCTCTGTCCCGCTGCATATGAACTTGGCATTCTACAAACAAAACCAATCACGCTGCAGAACTATGAGGATAAGGAATTATTATAACCTAAAATCATGTAATATTTAATACCCTTAACCCAAAATCACTCATTCAATCAATATATCAGATCAAATTCATGTAACGCTGAATTTCCAGAACCGAAAATTTAGTTTCAAAAAAGGGGTAAAAGGTATAAAGGAACTAACAGTGGTAAAGGGTTTCTGGTGTTGTTGAACTCAAGGCTGCGTTATTCAAATTAGAGAAAGGAAGACCAAATTGAAATTCTTGCTACTCAAGCTTCGTAATTCTCCATTCTACAATCACTCATATTCTATTCGGCAACCAAAACGACAGCGTCAAGCCTTTCGTTTCGCTTCATCTTCCCTTATTTCCAGAATTATTTTATGAAAATCTCTTGAAAGTGAACATTTTTTTTATTAAATTAGTCCTTAAATACATATTAAATATATTATCAAAACGAACCTTAAAAAGCTTATATTTCCATATTTTGTCATGTAAGGTATATTAAACAAATTCTTTTAATATATGATGAAGTTATCAATATAACATTTTCTATTATCAATCTTATCATGAAAATTTCATGCATACAACGAAAAACATTATGGTTGAAAATTCATGCACCAAGTAATGTTATAAAAAATAATGTTCTATTCATAGTTATCAACACATTGATTTTGTTGACGATTTTTATCTAGATAATTAAGATTAATTGATTTTATATTAATCACATGTGAAATTTTATTTAAAGTAAAGGTGATTATAGATATGGTTATTCATAAATTCAAAATAATTCAATCCAACCCAAACCCTTAATTTGAATTTAAATTCAATTAATTTAATTATTTTATCGGATCGAATAATGAATTTAAATAATTGAATAATGAATTTAAATAATTGAATAATGAAATTTAGAATTGATCTCTTAACTCAATCCAACTCATTATTATATAATATATTTATAAATTTAAATTATTATGTATATTTGTTTTTAGTAAAAAACAGTCACATTCATTAAATATTTTTCTTTTTTTCTTATCCCACTCTTACCCAAGCATTTTTTATAATAATGGAGAATTTGTAGTTAAATTTTAAATTACTTTTTATAAATCCAAAGTTTTCATGAAATTATGTTTATTGAGATGGATAAGTTAATAATTTAATCCAACGTAATAAAATTGAGTTAATTTTTTTATTAAATTAAATCTAATTTATTATTATCTAACTCAATCTTTTATAAATTAGATGATGGATTTTAATTTTTTACCCTAAAATCCAATTTAAATCAATTTTACAAAATTTATTAGACAATATTATTAAATAACAATAACAATAACAATAACAATAATAATATAAATATTATTAAAGAATTTTAATTTTTATGATAAACATGTAAGAGTTATATAATTAACATGATTTTAATAATTTTCATAACTTAAAATTGTTAAACCGTCAGTTGAACCCAATTGATATGACTTAATTAAACATTTTAAAAATTTATAATAGGTTAGAAGTGGATTACCTCAAAATTTATTATATAAATTTTTTAAAATATAATATATTAAATTATATTATTAAGTAATTTAAATATATTTGTAATAAAATAAATATTTATTAAAAGAAAAATTATTATTATTATTATTATTGTAAAATTATTATTAAAAATAAATAAATATTTATTAAAAATTATTTTTATTATTATATAATTTATAAAAAAGAAGAAAAAAATATTAATTATTAATTTTCGTTATTTTAAAAAATAATAATTCTTAATAATATATGTATATATATATATATATATATATAATTATTATAATAAAAAAATATAACTTTTATATCACAAAAAAAGATAAGCTTTATTTGGGAAAAACAAAATTAACTACAAAAAGGATGGAGAGATGGAAGGAAGGAAAAAGAGTAAGAAGAGAGAGAAAAGAATAAAAGAGAAATAAAAAAAAAAAAAACAAAAAAAGTTTGGTGTTAATTATTGACATATAAGATAAGATATTTATCATTTTATTTAATTTATTTTTAATGATGTATATGGAGAGATGTTCTTAACTACATTATATTTATTCAGTTATATTTTATTTATTTATAATCATTATTGATCTTATTTTATATTTATTTATCTTCGATTAAATATTAACCTTATTTTATTTATTTCTAGTTATACATTGGTCCTATTTTATTTATTTATAATTACATATTAATTCTTTTATATTTATTTATTTATATCAGCTTATGCAGTGACCTTATTTTATATAGTCTTCATTTATATTTGTTTATTTATTTATTTATCTTAAGTTACGCATTTGTATTATTTTATATTTATATAATTCTTATTTATTAATTTATATTTATATTATTGTATAAATTATTTTAAAGAAATTATTTTATTTATGAAGATTTGATGACTTTGTAGATGGAGATTAGACCTTCAGGATTGAAATGAGTAAACATTACTTAAAGAGTGATTAATTTTGTCCTTATTTATCCTTGTTAGTCACTACAAAAATCAATTCAAATCTACATAATATAAAATAAATAGAATATGATGATGAAATTGAAAATTAGATTATATATATATAAAATAGATTATGACGATGAAATCATTATGAGATTATATTATTTCACATAATAATTGTTCTCAGTTTTTTATTATTATATTGTGTGCATATTACAACTAAATATATCAACCTAAGTAAATAAAAATATCAAGCTGGAAGACAATATCATTTATAAACTAATCATTTTTAGGAAAAAAAATATTTGTCAAATTAAATAATTATTTCTTATATAAAAATAATGTAAACATGTAAAGTTTATATATTTATATATATAAATATATAAATATTTATTTTGTTAAGATTTAATAAAAAATAATATTCAAAGCAAAGGCAATAGGAATCACTAAAAAAATTATAAATTAATTTTTATATAAAATTTGAAGAAATATATATATTGGTAGGTGATCATTACTTTTCATGTCCCTTTCCTCCCATATATGATTCATTTATATATAAATAATTTAATTTTTTTATATTTTTAAAATTTAAATTATATTAATTTAATTAACTAATTTTGGATATAATAATTTAATATATATATATATATATTAGTAAAATAATAATTTTTTTTAGTTTTTTAACATATAATTATTAGTTTTAAAAAATAGATATACTTCAAGGAATCTTTATAATCGTTTAGTATGAATAATTAAGTTTATGTTTGAATTAAAGATTTAATTTTAAAAAATAAAATAAAATAAAATAACTTGAATGTAAAAAAGGTAATAAAAATAAATAAAAATAAAATAATTTATTATTAATTATTTTAATACATTTTTAATATATTTATTATTATTATTATTATATTAAATAAATAAAAAATAATATAAATTAAAAAATATTACACATAATCTATTATTTTACTAATTAATTATATTTCAAATAAAATCTTTTCTCCATTATGTAATCCTGAAAATATAATTGGTCTAACATTTACTTTTTCTACATAAAATAAAAATAAAAAAAATCTTTGCATTCTGCGCCCAACTTTCTGTAGTTGAAAACAACACTAAGTTAAAAGAGAAATATTCAAATTGAACTTATACCACTGTTATTTATTTATTTATAGCTTGAACTACCTTATCTTTTTGGATAATTTAGGCTAAATCTACTGTCATAATTCTAGTAATCATTATTTATGATTTTAAAATATAATAATTACTTTCAACCAAAACAAATTAATATATCCAGTGAATAATCATTTATAAATGTTTTGATTAATTTTATGGTATAGTTTGGTGCTCACATTAGATTTACATAATCGTAAGATAATCATGTCAATCTTTTAATCACGAACAATGTTTTCGCAGAATATCACAAACACAGCGTTGGCAGCAACTCCGGATGAAAATTAAATCTGGGTACGTGGGGATTGACCCCTGGGAAAACCCGAGTTGATCGGAAGCGAGTTTGAGTTTTTCAGCTTTAAAAAGTCGGGGACGGAGTGGGAATGGGTAATGCAATCCCGATCCCGATCCCAACCCTGTCGCCGTCCCCGTCCCGACTTTATATTTAAATTTAAATTTTAAAATATTAATATTTTAAAAGTATTTTCTTTTCTTTTTCTATTACATATAAGGTCATTTTTTTATATTTTACCAATTTTTATTTTTCTTCTACCTATTTTTTAATTTTTTTATCTTTTTTAATCTTTTATATCAATTAATTTATTATATTATTCTCTCTTATACCTTGGAGTTTTTCATATTTTCTTAATTTCTCTCATTAATTTGTTTTTTTTTTCAATCTTTTCAATCAATTTGATGAACACAATTAATTTTTTTATTCTTTATCTTTTTCTAAATATTTTACATAAATCTTAATAGTAACTAATATTATTTTATTTATAATTTATATTTATTAGGTTTTATTATGTCATTTGTTTATCTTATTATTCTTATTTATCATATATCAAATTTTATCTTACTAAAATAATTGCATTTTAAAGGATTAAAGGAATTGATAATTTAAACTTTTATTACTTTGAATTAATTGAATAATAATTAACTTATTAAATATTTCATTATAAACTATATATTTCATATTTTTAAATTACAACTTAAAAATGAATTAACTTATATATATAATCAAATGTTTGATTACAATATTATAATAATAATAATGATAATGTTATAAATATTCAAATATTTAAATACAGTATTATAATAATAATAATAATGTTATAAATAAAAAATGATTAAATATTTCTTTTACATATATATTTTAATATAAATATAATAAATTAAAATGTATATTTAATTAATAATTATTATAAATTATAAAATTATAAATATTTATTTATATATAAAAATAGATAATAAATAAATTTATTATAAATGTAATTATCTTTTTAAAAATAATATAGATCGGGACGAGACAGAAAAGAGAAACCCGAAACCCAAGAAAAATAGAGATCAAAACTTAATTTCTAATCTCCAGAAGAATAGGATACGAGATGTTCAAAAAATTCTAGTGAGATAAAGGGGAGAGGCAAAACCCATCTCTCCTCCGTTGCCATATGCCTATCAGCAAAATAAACAAACGTATAATAATGAAAACAAAATACAAACACTAAAATAAATATGCGTTTGTTCGTTAGAGTAGCCATAGCCATAAGACAACATGCTGTTGGCTCAACCTGTTTTCTTCTCTCCCAACGTTCCCACGCTCACCAAGAACACAAATTCGAGAGCTTCGCTTCAACCGCATAAGAATTTTCCTTCTCTCAGAGTTTCACCAGTACCAATTGGCGGTTGCTTCGTTAAACCACTTGGCGTGAGAACCAAAGCCAAAACCCCTTTGTCTTCGTTTCAGAAAAAGGGTGGTGTCCAAATCTGCCGTAGCTTGAAGAAAGAGAGTGAGGTTGGTGGGAATGGCAATGGAAGAGACTGGACAACCTCCATTTTGCTCTTTCTCTTGTGGGCAGCACTCATCTACTATGTCTTCTTTCTCACTCCAAACCAGACCCCGGTATGTCCCTCACTATGCTTTCCAATTTGCAAGATGCTAATTATCATATATGCTTTATGTTCGAACCAAGATTTCCAATGGCAATAGGGTACATATCTGACTTGTGGTTTAATTTAAATATATCAGTTTATTTTTGTAAAAGAGAAAAATGGAATGCATTGATTACAAAATTTTATAAGATTTTTACTATTTCTAATCTCCTTAAGGGATAGATAACTAATTATAGAGGTAATAGAATATTCTTCACAACAATAAAATCTTCTAATATTGTATGAGAAATCAGAGTGGATGGAATTTTACAAAATGAAGGCTTAAAGTTTTTGGAGTCAATAGTTACAATATCAAGGGTAATGTGGTAGAATCTTGTTAATTTTCACTGCCCCATGATGGCAAAAGTTTAAGAATTTAATTAGAAAACATTTGTAATAATTACTTGCTGATCAAAATTTTCGGTAAGTATGAATCACAGGGTGGTTATTATAAAAGTAAACAAACTTATCTGATATGACAATTGTTAAGTGACAATGTATACACTGTTACACAGTCTCAGTGCATATACCGTCTCTAGTCTCGGTGATATCTAATTGTTTGACTGTCTAAACTCAAACTTTACACTAACATTATATGAAAATTAAACTCAATTTTAAAATGTGAGAGTAACATTAGGGTATTCAATATGGTTACATCCATTGTTTGTTACCACTTTGGTTTGGAGGTTGGTTTTAAGTTTCTGGTTTGGAAGATCATTTCTGCAATTTCAGTAACCGTGACTCAATTGCAAGTGCAGTTTGAAACAATGGTTTGGAGCATGTGTTTTATTTGGCTGAGTAGAAAAAGTAAATGATGTTATCTATATGTTCTTCAAAATTATGATAACAATCTTATTGAGCCACTAATGACTAATGCTTCCAATATTCTTTATCTGCACCAGAAAAGAATGAAAATATGAGTTCTTCACTGGTCAAATCATCTATTTGGTTATCCTGTTTTATGCTAGTTTAGGCTTAGACTGTGTAGGATCTTTAAGGATTCAGCATACTCTTAGGTCCTTTTATAAGAGCACCAAAGTAGTCAGTGGCAGGCCCAGACTCATTTCAGGGTGGACAGTTGCGCCTCCTCATTTTTTTTTTAATTTACAGTTAATCATAATTTATAAAAATAGGAGATGTAACTAATTTTTTATTTTTTTCAGCCCTAAATTTATATATTGACCCCACAGTCAAATGACACAATATTGATATAGGAGTATGTAATGATACTGTATGCCCCTGCTGGCCCAGGGTCTTGGATTTGCCACTGAAAGTAGCCTTTGAAGTTTCTATCTCCCCCCTGCCTTTTTTTTTATACCTTTCCTTCTTTCATAACTTGTGAGATTTTTTGTTTTTATTCAGTCAAGGGACTTATATTTCTTGAAAAAGCTCTTGAATTTGAAAGGAGATGATGGTTTCAGAATGAATGAGGCGTTAGTATCATTGTGGTATCTAATGGGCTTGTGGCCGTTGGTATATAGCATGCTCTTGCTTCCTACAGGAAGAAGGTAAGTTCCCTTTGATATATATATATATATATATATATATATATATATATATATATATATTCTCTAACATAAATAGTATGTTTTCTTTTATCAGATTTCAGTCACTTATAAACCTCTACCTATATTGGCTTAAGCTTTTAGGTGAGTTGTCCTTGACATAAGGATCAACTCTCCTAAAAGATTAAGTTGTTAGGTAGCTGTTCATGAATACTTTAATAAACATCTTTGCCATTCATCTATAAGATTACTTGCATTTTTGAAAATTATAAACTCAATTGGATGGTTGATGATTGTTAAACAGTATCAATATTTTGAATCAAGGTTGTCAAATCAAGATTCAAATCATAACTCGAAAATTATATTGAATTATAAGATTCAAATACAATGAATAAACTTCAAATATTTTATAGAAATGATGTATGATGATGCCCAATATAACAATTCAAACTAGAAATAGATAAAACAACTTAACCATAACTCTCTCGAAATAACTCATAAGTGAGTGTGTGAAGCCTTTTTCTAGGAAGAATGAAAACAGAGCAGCGGAATACCAGAATAGAATGCTTGCGTTGAGTTAGTATGCGATTAAATAGGATAAGTTCAGTGGGGCTACTTTAATTCCTTTTCATTTAACATTTAAGCTTATATAAATTCTTAATATCTTTCACTAGAATTGGTAAAAGAAAAGTAAAACAAGAAAAAGAAAAAATAGCAAATCAAATTGTGATTCATATCAGTAAACGCCAAATTGTACCAATTTTTTTTTTTTTTTTAATAAAAAATAGAGTATGCAAAAACATCACCATATAATCAAGAGATGAACTCTGTGAACTGGAAACCTATGATGTAACATTCGAGTTCAATAGAGTTTTTTTTGAAGAAAAATACAGTTTTAACCTCTGTACACTTGAGACTAGTAATCAACTCCTCTGTGCTTCATGAAAATCAGTCAAAATGATTTATTTGACAGAATAGTAGTTTGAAATGACATCCACCATCAATACTATTATAATTACATATTACTGCCATGTTAATTACATTAATACTTTTAATGCCATTTTGAAAACTTTACAGGTTGCCAATGATTTTGTATTTTCATATATGTCCAATTTGACAATGCCCGAAGCTAATTTGATATCTTCCATATGTTGTTCTGCAGCTCAAAAAACAGTATTCCTGTATGGCCCTTCCTGATACTTTCATGTTTTGGCGGTGCATATGCACTTCTTCCTTATTTTGTACTTTGGAAACCACCAGCACCCCCTGTTGAAGAATCTCAGCTTAAAACATGGCCCTTGAATTTTCTGGAATCAAAAGTAACTGCATTGGTAATGCTCATCTGGACCTCATCTTGCAAAGTTGTTGAAGTGAAATTATAGTAATCTGAACAATGATTCCATGGTTAGATGATTTGCATGGGTTTATATATAAGAAAAAACACCCCATTTCAATCAGATGTTTATTTTTGTAGAAAACCTTAAAATTCAGTGTACATTTGAATTATAAAATGATTAAAAAATGGCATGGAAAAGGTTGCCTCATAGTGTTCTATATAAAAACATCATAATTGTATATTATAAATAAACACACACACAACCTGCAAGATACATTACTGCAGTAAAAGCAAACTACAAATATTTTGAAGGTTTCATATTTTAGCCTTGATATTTGATGGAATGAATCTATTTTTTATAATTTTTGTTTCTTCTTCCCATTCTTTTCATTCTTGAACCTACCTGCTCAATAAAAGCAGTCTATGAAATTGTGAATGTATCAGAAGATCAATTCACAGTGAAACTGAACAACCATGATGATTTGGAATGGTTTTCAAAATGCCCTCTATTAATCCTCATTTGAAAAACTTTCTCCTAGCCATGTCAGCATGCCCTTATGAATGATCTGATGGGAAGAGTCCTATTGACTATTGTATCGCATAATCTCAGTAGTCCCTTCTTTTTAGTTTATTTTATTGGAGGATGTACTCTTACCTTACTTGCACATCAGATATCACTTGCTGTAGGGGCATCCATCATAATTTATGCTGGTTTAGCTGGACAAGATGTGTGGAAAGAATTTTACCAGTACTTCAGGGAAAGCAAATTTGTAAGTTCATAATCAGCATTTCAACAAGTTGGCATGACTAATAATCATATTCATTATATAAGCATTAGCAATGCCAAAGACTTTTCCAATCTTGCCATTGTGATTTGTGCTAAATGAAATGCTAATGTAAATTCGACAATTGCTAATCTATTTGGATCATATTAACTAGGCCAAGTTTATGACTAAATTAGAATCCAGTTCATAAACTTCATTTTCATGATTTCCACTTGTCCATTTTTCATAAAATAGGAACTGTTTGGTGCTAAAGTTGGGTTTTCATGTTGCAGATCCATATTACCTCCATTGATTTTATCATACTTTCCACATTTGCACCTTTCTGGGTTTACAACGACATGACAGCGCGAAAATGGTTAATTACTTGCCATACAAGTTTTTAATTTATTTTTTACTTACAGATCCTAGTCCTAGTTATATACTGCCTCCGTTCCACAATAACTGCAGTTTTAGTTATGTAAGAAAAGTTCCAAATTGACCAATGCTCTCACACTCCAATAAAGTATTAAATTGTTTCCTCCTAATTTATCCTCAAATTAATTACTTTTTTTCTCATTCAAGGCAATGCATTTATTGAAAAAGGGAGGCTATTTCAGTAAAATTGTTTTGAAAATTGGTGTATTTATTCTTCTTAATCTGTGAGATGTGGCAACCTAATTGGGTGCAGTCAACAAGTGATGTTTTTGCATACCTATTTTGATTAAAAAAAATCTGTGTGGGAAAACCTTAAACTACAATTATAGTGGAACCGAGGGAGTAAAACAAATGTAGCATATATTTTAATGCTAATCCAATATGCAGGTTTGACAAAGGTTCTTGGCTTCTTCCCATATCATTGATACCATTTTTAGGGCCTGGTTTATACCTTCTCCTGCGGCCATCACTATCAACAGTGGCCATTTCACAAGCTCCTGTTGAGCCAGAGTAAAATTCCATGTGATGACTGCCAGTGATATGAATACACATTTCTATGCAACAAAAATGGATTTGGTTTCAAGTTTGGTTCATAAAGGTAATTTCATTCTACATAGTCCATAGCATGGTGACCCCTCACTCACTAGTCCATACAAATGTTGAGATCCATCAGCTCATGCATCATCTATAGTGATGGAGATGGAAACTGCTTTTCTTCTTCTGCTGTATGTAAGAATTTCATTGAGAGAAGTTTCTTATTACCTACATTTTTATTATTAGATGGGATCCAATTTCAAAAAAGGGCATTATTGTCTCTGAGATTATTTAGCCAATTTAATTAACTCAAGGAAAAATTTCATTTTTAAGGTTCTTCAAAATGCTTATTTCATTTTGTTCTTGGTGTGCTGCAAATAGTGATTGGTAATTATGACTCCAACACTATTGGGATAGCAATTAGCATAGATGTATTCACATCTTAGATACTGTGTTAATAATCTTATAAATTAATTGTTACTTTATAATTGATTGTTATATTGTGCATTTAAATAATTAGTTACTTTGTTACAAAATATCAAAACAAATAATATGGCCTAATATACTTAATTTATATTTATCAATTATGTAATAATTAATACATTGTTCGATTATGTAACCTAATATGATAAAAAAAATCATAAAATTGACTAAAAGATAAGATTAATGAAATGTCTTCATGAACGTTTAACTCTCTTAATGTTTATACAAAACATACATAAGAAATATCAACATTTTAATACGAAATACCAACAATTATTCATGTTTCAACCATCTAAATACATTACTAGCACAAGAAGAAATTATTTGCATGTATGGAGTAGCAAATAAGTCCCACTAGATTTACTATATGCAGAAACTTGCAATTTGTGTCAAGTGATGTAGTTAGGAAAGACAAGAAAAGAGAAGAATCCACTGATAAGTCAACCTATGTGAGGTATTTGTGAAGCATATGGAAAAGTACAATAGAGAGACCCTAACATTTAAACATCTCATCCGCTGTACCTTTCTTCTCCTCTTCTTGTATGTTACGGATTGTAAAATTGTCAGTGTGTTTAGTTTTGCATTGTCTTGTCTCTAGTTCAATAAAAAATGGGGTGAAACAGTTTGATCTACCATAGTTAAAGGACAAGCTTACGAGTCAGTAGGTTAGTCCACCAATCATTTATTTTATATAAATTTTTTTTTATGTATTTTTTAAAATATATCTTTAATTATATGAATAATTTTTAAGTTTTTATTTATTAATTAGTATTTTCATTAGATAAATTGAAAAAATTATTATATTTATGTATTAAAAAAACTAATAATAATTAATAATTTAAATTTAATTAATTAATTTTTATAATTTAAATTATAATATTATAATATATTTACATATTTTATTAACATAACAAAAAAATAAAATATTTTTAATTATAATTTTTTATTTTAATTTTAATATATAAATATTTTTTTAAAATGGGTCAACCCATTTCATCTCACCCTTGGTCCACCAAGTTGGTGGGTTAGGCGACGTGGGTTAAAATTATTAATCCATCCCATCATCCGGTCCATCGAGCCTAGACCGTTTTGATAACCTATTATGTCCTGCTACTCTTCTCTTTTGATCAACCAAATAGCTCAACCCTATCTTTAGTGAATTGTGCCAAATGGAATCAAACAATCCAAAAGTTAGAGGAAATAAAGATCATTATGGTGTTTATCTTTGACTCAGACTCATTTAATGAAGATGGGAAAGTTATAGACAATAATGCAATTTGTTAACATTATTTTTTTCATATATGCAGGAGGGGTGTAGTTTCACTAGTGCATAAGGGGTTTTGTACGTCATTTATATCTCGTCAGACTAAAAAATATCTGACTTTAAAAAAATGTAGTGATATTTTTGTAAATAATGGACATAAATTTTATGTCGGCCCCTGTGAGGTTCGGCGTAAAAGTTGCATTTTATTTTCACCCAAGACTCCTTCTTCCTTGCACACGAGGATTTTCGAGGATGATGGTGGAGCGACCATTCCAGCACCTTCTAGGGTATATTTCGACCACAGTGAGCGATGAAAACATCTATATTATGTCCATTTTGTGGTGGTTGACATTTCTCTTTGATTGAATTAGAGTTTTAGAACATTTTTTGTATATTCGAGATTAGTGTTTTATATCTCCTCTTTTATGTTGAAATTGAATATGTGATTATTTTTGGGAATCTCAATCACATTATTGCATGAATGTCTCTACTATATTATTGAAATTGAACTATTGTAATTTTTTATTATCCTTTTAAGTGCATTTATGGTTTATACATTGCATTTTATGTTTTCATGGTTTAGTTATTTGAATCCTTTTTGTTGTTTATATATTATTTTTTTAATATAAAATTGTGTTTGCATATCTAGGAGTGATGAAAATTTATAACATAGGTAGGTATGGATCGGAGTTGGATGAGTGCATGTCATATTAGTCAAGAGTACGAAAAAGGAGTTGAGGAATTTTTGAATTTTGTTCATGAAAATGAAAAATCTATCAAAAGAAAATATTATTAAAGTGTAAATATATATTAAATAATATCTGATTTGTTTCAATTAGAATCATATATGGAATTAATGTTCTAAGTGGAAGACTCATAACAAAGAATTTGTGTTTCATTTATCCTAAAGTTAGAAACTTATTTACATAAACACCATAATTATTGTTTGTATTTAAAATTTGAAAATAACATTATTTTTTATTCCTCATTTAAGTGTAATAAGCAAACCGACTCTTGGAATGTGACTACTATATCATGTTTTGGATGTGAGTTATAGTGTGTACGGGTATAACTAATTCTTGGATGGAGATAATTGCTTTTAACATTTGTTAAGTTGATTTACTTTTATGCATATTGAAATGTTAACAAGAGTCAAATTAATGTTTTAGGTATTTTAAGATTTATCTTCATTATCAGAAGATGATATTATACAAATTAAAGAGCAATGAATAAGATTTTTCGTTCAACATTTCTAGTACTTAGTTTGTAGGTTATTATTTATATTATATTATATAGTTTAGTATTTAGGTATCTTAGTTTTTGTACATATTAGTTTAGCTTTGTAATGTTTAGCTTTTAACTAGTTTAGTCTTTGTTCTAGTTTAGTTTTTATACTGTGTATTATATTGTATTGTATTGTTGCATTTTGAATTACTATCTATTAAAAATTTGGAATTTGGGTGGTATGTGATTAAAATATGTTTGTAGATTTTGGTTGTAAGACAAAACAAACCGAATTTTAAAAAAATGACAAAATTTATATTGGGTGTGTTAATATCCGACGTAAATTTACATTAAATCATATCATAATAGACATAAATTTACGTCGGTTATAGAGGGTCCAATGTAAATTTCATCCTTTTTTCTTATTTTTTCTGACATAAATTTACGTTAATTGTTCACATAACTGACATGAATTGATATCAATTTTTATGTCAGACATAAATTTACATCTCCTACGTTAATGTTGAACTTATGTATGACATAAAATGATCAAAAATAGATGTAAAAACTTCTAACTTCACTAGTGGTTATCACGTGATGTAGTATATTCTGAGAGTGAAAGTTGGTACGTGTACGTGAGTTGTCTTTAAGGACATATCTAATGCAACTAACTCACACAAGTTTTTTTTTTTTTTGTTAAAAATGTGAACTAAGAATATCACAATATTACATTATCGTCAAATAACTCATGATTTAGATTGATTTCACACTACAAAAAAAAAAGCCTATTACCTATGGATAAAAATCCGTAGGTAAATTTTACATTACCTACGGATATTACCCACGGATGAAAATCCGTAGGTAAATTGTACATTACTTACGAAATTCTATTCGTAGGTAATTATCCATTACCTACGGATATTATCCGTAGGTAATGTCATCCGTGGGTAATTCCATAGGTAATTACCTATGGAATTACTATCCGTAGGTAAATTATATTAAACTAAAAGAATTGTCACTAGCAAGAATCAAACCCAAGTACCTTAAAGTTGAAAACTGATACTCCAACCACTAAACTATTAGGATATTCTAATAATAATTTACAACTAAATTATACTTATATTTATTCGTGTAAATATATAAATATATAAATACATAAATATATAAATACATAAATATATAAATACATAAATACATAAATACATAAATATATAAAAATATAAATACATAAATACATAAATATATAAATAGATAAATATATAAATATATAAATACATAAATATATAAATACATAAATATATAAATATAAATATAAATATATAAATATAAATATATAAATATAAATATATAAATATAAATATATAAATATAAATATATAAATATAAATATATAAATACAAATATATAAATATATAAATATATAAATATATCAAAATATAAATATATTTTATAATTATATGTATTTTATATTTATATATATTTTATATTTATATATATTTTATATTTATATATATTTTATATTTATATATTTTATATTTATATATATTTTATATTTATATATTTTGTATTAATATATATTTTATATTTATATATTTTATATTTATATATTTACACGGATAAATATAAATATAATTTATTTGTAAATTATTATCAAAATATCCTAATAGCTTAGTGGTTGGAGTAGCGACCTCCAACTCGAAGTACTTGGGTTCGAATCCCGGGGGTTGTAATAAATAAAAATATTTTGTTTAGGTGAATGCATTACCTACGGATTATAATCCGTAGGTAAAGTGACATTACCTACGGATTTTTGTCATTACTTATGGATTTTACCCGTAGATAATAAGCATTTTTTTTGTAGTGTCAATAATAAGAATATAAGAAATGTCGTTTGAATAATTTCAACCATATTTTTTTACTAAGCTTAAATTGATTTTTTATTTATTTTTATAAAATAAATATACTTATGAAAATTTTCTAATTTATTTATTTTCACTAACCTTATATATT